CTTGGACAAGGACACTTGAGAACAGGTTCTTAAGATTTTACCCTCGCTCTATAGACTCTCTAATAGAGCCATAACACTTGAAAGCAGCCTCCTCGTGAGCGGAGGCATCTGGGACCAGATTCTTAGAATTCTTCCAAACTTTCATCCATATTCAAGTAAGGAGTAGTAAGGATACACAGAAACTTAATTTAACCGCGCATTAATTTTCATATCAAATCAATTAATCGGGGCAGGTTCTTATAATATCAACGTAACCACAATACATCTCTTTGTTTCTTGGCCACTTACTTCGGTAAATTGAAAAGGGGGTATTCTACTCATATGTGTCAAACAGCCATCCTACGTTTAAAGGGCCCGGGATAACTGTTTGACACTTGTGGGTAGAATACTTCCCTTCTATTTTCTTACACAGGTTTCCTTCAAGGGGAATTATAATTACCAAGAAGGTGCGCTGTCAAAAACCCTGGAAGGTAAGACCTTTTCATTTAGTTTTATGTTGAAAAAAATGTCAACTCGAAATGTTCATTTAAGGTACGAGGCTTCGATTTTCCTTTTGCCTTAAATATCTTTCTCTTTGTTCTATAGATTATTTGTTTCCTTATTTTTCGTGCCTCTTCAGCCATTATGTAAACTAAATACTATTAAAAATTAAATAGGGGGTCTTTGTGTTTGGGAACGATATTTTACGATTACTCTGGGCTGGTTGGAGGTTAGTTACAAAGGTGTTATTATCATTGCAGATGCACAAACTGATGCCAAAGAAGATGGAGACAAGAAGAGCGATGATAACAATGACGTGCCAGGCACGTCTTTAGAAAGGAAAAAAAGGAAAAGAAAGGACCGGAACAGAACAACAGCCAAAAGACTGAAGAAAAAGAAAGAGAAGGAAGGAAACCACAAAACTGACAACTGATTTAAAAATATGTTCATGTTATTTAAAGCATGGTAAATTCGATGTATTTTACTTAGGATAACATAGATAGATCGTGTTGCAGTTTGTACATACAATAATGCATGTATTTGCCTTAGGATAATATTGACAGAATATCGTCTGAACGAAAAAGTTGCCTACAATCTGCGACACAATAGCCCACACATTGCCGTTGAGATAACAATATTTCTGAATTATTTTAGCCTCGATTTCCTTAAATTTTACCCACTCTCCCTTGATAAATTAGTTTTTTTTCCTTCTGTGCTTGTACAACATTGAATGCAGGAAAGGGTTGGAGTATTGTATTTCGAGGTGTGGTTGATTTTAAAGTTCAATTTTAAGTCTGGCCTAAAAAGTTGCTTACTGAATTTAGTCGCAGATTGTAGTGACTAGTGACTAAAAAAATGGTTTATTGTGGTATTTTTTTTAGCAAACAAAATACAGACTTTCAAGCGCAAGCTTTTTAAATCGCCTGTATCATTTTTAGCCGAGAATGAAGTGGTTTTCAGAGACGTTATCTATCTGTT